TAGAGTTGGGGATAACTTTGCCTTCTGCCTAAGCAAACTCGGGGAAAACAAGAATAGAGCAAGACCAGCATAAAGGAGACGCCTGGATCAAGAATCTAGCCCTAACCGGAGGGAAAAGGATCGCGATGATAACAGGGGGTTTGAGGGGATTTTCGGGGATTTTCGGCAACCATGCGAAGACGCTGTCGGTGAGTTATGTCTACTCGAAGAAACCAATAAAATTTTGGGGCTCTGACAGTCAGGGAACTGGGCAAACGGATAGGCAAACCGTCATAGAAAATTCGTGCGTTATGGTTAAAATGTACCAGAAATCCACTTGAGTTGCCGCATGCGACCAGAGATAGATGCTGACAGTTTGCTCAGGTTACACGGGCCTAATCAAGGAGACGACCCGTGAATGGAATGCCTGATATCTGCAAGCATCGCAATCAGAGCCTTGACGCCCTGTTCGCTGAGGCGGCAGTGTACATGCTTCTAGGACCTTGAGAAACAGCGTCTGGAGTGAACTGTAGACTGGGACTGGAACCGAGTGAAATTGGTCAACTAGAAAGGGAAGGAACGGATCTACGAGACGATGAGGGGATCCGGATTGGAGGCCCGAGTCGGATCGGCCGATCGAAAGAGAGGGGTCAGTGGTGAATAGTGTGAAGAGATCAGACAAGATTTGCCACAAAAGGGCACACATTTTGACGAGTGGAATGTAAACAAGTGAGAAGTTGTGATAGAACGGCAGTGGGAGAAGTGGGTAAAGGGTAGATAGATAGGCCAGGACAGAAAGAGGAGTAAGGTTGTATCCGTTTTCGGCAGAACGTTTGTCGAGTGATTGACTTCACTTGTCTCTTTGACGACTTTGTAGCAAGACTCGCTGATGATGCCGACTACGATGCCGGCGAAACGTGTGAGAATGCACCACGTCCACTGTCTGATGCTGAGAATCATGACAACTGCTATGACAGACTAGGAGCGTTCTTCTAAGTCGCCCTGACAACAAGACCAAATTGCGACAACGAGGTCAACCCACTTTCTAGAAAGGAAGATGCTAACTTTATCGGTCAAGCATGCATTGATGGTGAAACACACAAAAAGCCAGACTTGCACGTGCCTGCTCGGCAGAATTGTTTTCACTCGGCCAGGCGCAAATATACTCTTCAGCAGAGGAAACCATTTTACGCTTGCCCGCGTCTCGGCCCTGTCCAGTTTGGTCGGATGGTCTCAGTGCCTCGGAACGTCCTGACGAAGCAGTCTCCGATTTGGCCGGGCTCATTTCACTCCCGCCTGTACAACCGTCGATACTCCATCTTTCCACCGGGACACTCTTGCCTTCGGTGTCAGCTTGACCCTGCTCACGAGGGCCACATCTTGCCGACGAAGGCTCAGCCTGACTGACTCGCTCATGAGCCGCCTGATGCGACTGTTGTGCAGGCACTCTTGACGCGATCGTGGCCTCGACGCCCAACCGACAAGCCGTTGGTCGCCTGACCTGGTCGGACAATGCAGCCGGCGAACCTGAAGCAGTCAACATGCCTGTGGTCGTCGTGGTAGCGGAGGAAGAGGCAGCGATGACATTCGCTGATGGGATGACAGAACGGTCAGCTCGAGCCGCTGTTCCCGGCACTTGGGAGAGTGACTTTTGCCTCATCGCCTTGTGAGCCAGCAACCGATTGGACGATCTGGCGACGTCCGAGGAGTCATGAGGTACCAGTCCGACTGCTGGCGTCGGCGCCTGCAAAGAAGAGTCAGAATTGTACGTCATCGCGGTATTCATGCAAGAAGCGACGCAAGAAGACGCCGAGAAGGCGGCTGTTGTGCACTTCAGCCAGGCTGTGTCTGCGAGTGGTGAAGCTGGTCCAGACAACAGCTGACCAGACCATGGGGCTGCGTACGGCAGAGAGGGTCGTCGGTCGGCCAAATAAAGACCCCCAAGCGCGGTGCTCGCAACGCCTGTGTCGTCAGGCCGAGCCGAGGCGACATGATAACGTCCACTTGCCACTTCCGCCAGACCGTGACTTGATCCCGAACGGGACTGGCCGGTCATGACGCCACCAGCCCCGGTTGCCACGGTTTCGACCGCCTCGAGGCCCAGTTGGGCGTGAATCTTCTCTTTGCCGCTGCTGTGGCCTGCCAAGCTGAATGATCTTTGGTGTCGACTGCCGGCAACGGCGGAATGATGCCAATCTGTAGAGCCGCCGGTAGAGTCGCTCGGTTGCCAAGGCGATGCAAAAGTGGGCCTTAGTGGCTCATTCGGTTTGTGCCTTGAGGATGGCATCAGAGGTCGAGTTGTATGAGAAAAAAGAGGATATTAAGAGCAGCTCAGCCGAAGCTCGGTTAAATAATTGAATCACAAATCCAACGAAAAGCGTCACTTCTAAATGATAAAAACAGACTTAGTATGGCAACATAAATGTGTTTGTGGAAACAACCATTCCGTATAGGAGGGTATATGTCACAAGGGTACAGAGCAAGACGAATTAAAATATGAGCAAGAATGCATAGCATAGGAAGAGCAACTGGTCTTCTACAATTCTCCTGATGTACCAATAAGAGCTGTATTCACCCTATTTCGTTTAAAGTGATGAAAGACTGATGACTGAATTTGCCTACACTTCCATCATTATCATTGTGGGCGTCAAATCTCCATTGGAGTTCGACTGCAATTTCGACCTTGTTTGGGTCTCATCAGCACTGCGAACGGGACTCGAATCCGGCCAGTACCGAGTATAGTCTCAACACGAGTGCATTTTGGTCACAAGGCATTTGCCAATTTAATGCGATGCCATGCCTTTACCATGTCACATTTGTGTAGTCGGACTGTCGTTAAAGCAAAGTCATATTTGCTGATACAATAGATTACATTATTTATTTTTCTTTGAATATATGAAGACCAAGATGTTGTCACCTCTGGTGTGGTCGCAGTCTCCTTTCGATTGATAGAAGTGGGTTGACCTCGTTGTAGCAACTTGGTCTTGTTGTCAGGGAGACCATGTAGAACGCACCTAGTCTGAAGTCGTTTGCCATTATAGTTGTCATGATTCCCAGCATCTGACAGTGGACTTA